TATATCGTCACAAATAGAACTGCCCAGTAAACCGTAGGCAGAGAGAGAGAAGAGGACAACAAACGAGGGGCTGTGACAAACTGTTTCGTCGGAGTTTCACCGACTCATCAGGAGGTATATGTCCATGTTGTGGCCATGGGCACTATACTGAATGCATGGTCTTTTGTGGCAAGCGTTCTACCTTCATTTTGGCCTGCAATCGACATGCCATTTGTCGGGAGTGTATGCTCAATGCCACCCGTCGTGGCAATTGTTGCACTGAGAATGCTCAGCTAGGTCTTCCATGTGTTCATCCACCTCATCCTTACAATGTATGTCCTCTCTGTCGTCAAAGACAGACTCATTCTTGAGCCTTTTCTTATCCTCTTTTGCCTTCATCTTCACTCCTCACTCCATACTTTCCCTTACTTTCCATTTATCGTTCTTTGTTTGTCTGCTCTCCATCTCTCGTCCCTGTGTTTATCCCCTCCCCTTTCACTCTGCCTCTTTCTCACATCGTACAAGTGGGCTGTTATGGCACACGGGGATGGGGGCAGCTCGTGCTCAACTTCATTAACGTGGCGAGCCTTGTACGTGAGAGGCACGGTGAAAGGGGAGTCAAAAGGAGAATGAGAAAAATGAATGGTTTCAGTGTGCCCTTCATGTTTGCCTTGTTTTTTTTTTTTGTTTTTTTTTTTGCCGTTTGTTTCGCAAAGTGCGCTCTTTTAGTTCATAGTTATGTGATAATAATATCATAATATATGTATTTGATGATATATAGTAGTATTTGACGATATATAGTAGTACTATACCCGTTGTTTTCTCAAAAAAAAAAAAAAAAAAAAAAAAAGTAGTAGTAGTACTATACCCGGTTTCCGGAAAGTGCCGCAACTGCAACACCTGTTCTAGTGCCCTACACTACCTATAGTCTACCACCCTGACTTCACATAGTTCCTTGCACCCCAAATCCTTTGGTCAACATGGCAAATTTTTTTATTTTTTTTTATTTTTTTTTCAAACTATCTAGCCCAGCGGTCTTAGTTGGGTAAAGTTGGTAAACAAGTAGATCAGATAATTCTTAATCGGCCTTAAACTGACCCTTGCAGTCCTCGGGTTCAACCATACATCCAACTGACCCTGTAGAAATTGGCCAAATGGGTTTATCAGTGCCTAGAAAGTTAGAAACACAACTTCTTCCTAAGTGACGCAACAACGATCGGCCAAATCGACCAAATCGGCCAAAACGGCCAAAACGGCGATGTTACCCCTGAGAACGAAGTAAGCCCAGAATCCCTGCCGTCTTCACCCGAATAGAGCGCCTATCATTATAGCTGTGTTTGGGGCGATTTCCACTCTAGGTACTGCTGCTGTAATGACCGGGCGTTCTATTCTGGTGAAGACAGTATCGGCTGGCCCACCTAGGTTTCATTTGAGCCCTCAAAATTCCCTACCATCTTCACCCGAATAGAATGCCCAGTAATTATTGTCGTATCTGGACTGAAAGTTGCACCAAATACAGATATATTCTGATATAATGACCGGGCGTTCTATTCGGGTGAAGGCAGTGGTCTGTCAGAATTTGTTTGCGAGCGAATTCCATGGAAACCATCGCAAAGCGCCTGCAGTGATTGCATGTCAATCAGCATAAGAGTATGAAGTCCCAAAAAGCTTTTGTATGATTCGTATGTCAGCCCCAAATTTGAAATTTCTTTCTCATTTTCACACATTTGCATTGGCAGGCAATCTTCTCAGGCTGACGTTTAAAAAACAAGATCGTAATGCTCACTCTGGGACTTTCTTTGGTTGTATCTGATGATTCTGATGGCTTTTATCATATTATGGCTCTTTTTTATCGGCATCGGATGGTCTTCTGCTTCTCTGTGCCCTGCTGCATGGTGGGGTGGGGTGGGGTGGGGTGGGGTGGAGTGAGGGTTAATCATTAATGTTAATGTTCAAACACAGGGACTCTTTGGAAAGCCACTTCCCACAGCTAAAGCAGATAGAATTATCAGACTACAAGGTCAGACTCCTTGAGCGATCTGATGAGCGCAGGGGTTCAGACAGTGCTTCAACAACGCGAGTTACGATGGAGTTTTCCGATAAGCTGGGAAAGAAGTGGAACACGGTACGGAAATGCGGACACATATCACTTCTAATTTGGCGTCCATCCCCGCCCGTTCGAAAGATTGACCTCTTCATCCGTTCCCACTTGTCCAAAAGAGTGCTCTCTCCATCCCTCGCTTGTCTGTTATCTTTTGTTTTCACCCCTTGATACCGGCTCTTCCTTTTCCCCCTCTTTAAGAGATGGATGTGCACGTTGACGATGGCATATAATTTGATAGGAAAAAAAAAGAACTGCCAAAAACGGAATCCTATGATCCATACAAGGGGCCACCTACCCCCTTTAAAGTTCAAACAAGAAATAATAATAGAAAGAGCAGCAGAGGAGAGAAGAAAGGTGTCAAATTGTCAATCCCCCGTGGGAGGGACAAGATCCTTACCGTCCCCTGAACTGCCGTAAGAGGACAGCCTGTAGGCAAGACCATAAGTGGGACATAGCAGCAGGAAACGACACCGCAAAGCACCAGGCAATGGTAGTACGGTCACGCAACTGCTGAACACCTGTTTGGAACAATAGTGGAAGCGCACGGGCGGCAAGGCAATAACACAGCGAAGCACAAGACAACGTTTCCAAAGCAGCCAAATTACACTGCAGTCTCGCAAAAAGATCACAAGAAGACAAGGCACGCATGTGGGCAGCAAGGCTGCAATGCCTAGCGACGTGGGCGGCAAGAAGCAGCGTCGACAAGGCTGCTATAGGCAGTTAGGGTAGCTGTAGGAATTCAGTTAGTACCGGGCCTGTATTTTCCCGGATTTGCAGATCTGTCCCTCACGAATTTCCTTACAGGCAGGTCTCTCGGTTAGCCCTCAGCCAAACAAAATTRCGAATCTAACCTACCGGTTAGTGTACAGCCTCGCAGTCAATCTCGGCAGCAGAAATCAGCAAGTCATTGCAAGGCAACCAAACCACACGGCAAACAAAGCAGCAGAGAAACACATGGCAAGCAGGAGGGCAGCAAGCCAGCAGAGGAGAGAAGCTAAGGCAGTCCTCACATTCAACACGNAGCCAGCAGAGGAGAGAAGCTAAGGCAGTCCTCACATTCAACACGGCAAACAAAGCAGCAGAGAAACACATGGCAAGCAGGAGGGCAGCAAGCCATCAGAGGAGAGAAGCCAAGGCAGTCCTCACATTCAACACGGCAAACAAAGCAATCCATCACCTGCGCTCACACCACGAGTCCAAACCCGCAGACCATTGGTTCCCACCACGTGCTGACCCAGGAAGCCACTTTGACAAACGTCTATCATCACCCATGGAGCTGTACACCCACAGACCTTCCCAGCAGAGCGGTTCCGCTCATAGTACTGAGTGCACTCCAAACAAGGAACTGCCAACTATTGGCACTACTTAGAGGTGCTCGCTCAGAGACCTCCAGAAGGTACTGAAGACGAAGACATACATAAAACTGTTTTTGTGTGTGTGTGTGTGTGTGTGTGTGTGTGTGTGTGTGTGTGTGTGTGTGTGCGTGTGTGTGTGTGTGTGTGTGTACACACACACACGGAGAACATCTCCAGCGCAGATAACAACACAAAAACTGTGCTCCGCACTGACACAATACTTCAGAAGGAAACGCGCATCTGAGTGAGTTGAGTCAACAAACAATCTTTGAAGAAGCATTGCAGGTCCACTTGACTTAACGAAACGCAGAAGAAGATACAAGCACAAGACTGAAAGGCTGACAAACGATACAGGGCACCAAGGCATGAAAGACAGAAGAGCAAGGAACATAGGCTGGAGGGCATGGGGGAGGCGGGAGGGCAGACAACACACAAGCGCACAAAACCGACGAACCAACAAAAAAAGTACAAGTCCCAAAAGGACAGAAAGACCGAAAAACATAAAAGCTGATGATGAGAGATTGTTTCGTCGGAGTTGCACCAACTCATCAGGAGGCTGAACCCTCGACAATCTGCGGAATCTCCGTATTTGCGGAATCTCCGTATTTGATGGTTTGGGTCATGAACCCTTTGACCCTTGTTGAAGGCAGACCTTCCCCAAGCGGAACATAGCAGGGGGCAGCAACCCTGCGGAGCACCAGGCAACGCAGTAGAGGCAACACGGCTGCACAATGCCAAAAACGAATGCGAAGAACGACACGGCACACAGGGCACGCAGCACGGCAAGGAGGCAGTGAAGCACAAGGCAACACCACCAAGGCAACCACACTGCAAGGGACGGCAGGGCAAGCGGACGAGCAGCACAGCAACCATGCGGTGAAGCACAACGCAACACCAACAAGGCAACCGAACTATAAGGTGCGCAAGCAAAGGACACGGAAGACACGGCCAGCGGAAGGGCGGCAAGGCAGCAGAGCAGCGAAGCACAAGGCAACAACAACAACACGGCCACACCACACAGCGAAGACAGCAGCTTGCCAAGAATGACCTGCGAAGCAAGCGGAACCGGCAGCAAGGCAGCGGCGGAGCGCGGACGAGGCAGTCCACACATCCAACATAAAGCAAAGCGGTACATCGCCTACTCACATCACGGGTGAACCCCGCAGACTCTTGGTTCCCACCACCCACTGAGCCAGGGAGTCACTCCTACGAGCATCCGTCATCACCCACAGGCAACACAAACATCCCGAAACCTAGCGCCCCCCCTAAGAGTCCTGTAGGCACTCTAGACAAGGAATGCCCGACCGTTTGGCACTTCTTAAGGCACCAGTACACCACACATCGGCCTGCGGGTCTCAGCACGAAACCCGCACCACTTCCGAGGTCGCCAATTTTCTTTTTCAACGGCGCCCCACGCCGCGCGACGCCTCCGAGTTTTGCTTGTGGCGACAAAAACTTTCCGCAAGGCTGGGGCCGTGTACTAGCCGCTTAAAGGTGCTCAGTTGGGCCTACAAAAAGTACTAGAAAAAATCAGAGGAAAGACAAAGGACAGGAGGAAGACAAACATACATGAAACTGATTGTGTGTGTGTGTGTGTGTGTGTGTGTGTGTGTGTGTGTGTGTGTGTGAGAGAGAGAGAGAGAGAG